CAAATTTCAAATATTCCCAACAATATCTGAAATGTTCAACAGTTGATCATCACATTTTCAACAACATTTCAACAACTTGTAAACAACTTTTCAACGACTTTTCAACAGCTTTTCAACAATTGAACAAGTGTTGAACACAGCGTCGCATGTTTATGACATATGTTATCAACGTTGAGTTCCTTCACTTTTGGTGGAACACATGACACTACCCCCGCCAAACTGTTTATTAACATGAAACCAACAGTTTAAAAGGGGTGCCCACATTTGATAAACCGCCAAAAAAAATGCCCACATCGCTGTTGAAACCAACTTCCATCCATTCTATCTCCTTCTCCCTTATCACAATCTAAAAGTTGTTTCTCGGGAGTAGATAGCTCCCTACTGGCCCCAAAGGCGGTGCTCTGAGAGCCAGCAGTACTACACCTATCGGTCCGAATGATTTATCAGACGAAATCATTTTGAGGTTGAACGCCGAGAACACAGTTTCGGACTAAGGCCGTTCACGCCAGATTCAGAGATTTGTGAGACCTGACGATGAAAAGTGTTTACATAGAGAGACAACCAGTTTGTTCCCTACATGCACAGAGTACAAACCCGCCCGAGGCGACGAGGTTCGCAAGACTAGCCGCCCAGTCCTGAAAAGGGTGAAACAAAAAGTTTATTCGTTCGTCGAACCACTTGCAGTCCTGTTCTTGAAACTTGACACCAAAGATCTCAGGTCCGACCTTGGACTCCACCCCCACTTTTTTGAAATCCTTGGCAAGTTGACACACTTCTCTTACGCACTTCCAGACCCACACCCACTTCGAAACAGGAAGTCACGGTGGGCGTGAGGATCGGGCGGCACAATGTCCCACATGATTTGAAGAAAGGCGTTTCCTTCTTAAAGTTTCTCCAATAATACAAGAAAACCTTAGTGAGGACTGCATTGTGTGCAATCTGCCAACGTAAGCTAGCATGCTTAGTCACTCGTAATGAAGGGAGTAAATGTAAGAAGGTTATTAAACACAGGATTCGTGAAAACCCAACGAAAGCAATAAAACCCAACATTTTGTATAGAGGGAAATCATCGAAGTTAAATAATTGTACTTAAAAAAAAAAAAAAACAGCGTCCTGAATTCTTTCTCGATAGACGAGGCAAAAAACCGAGCAAAAAGTGAAGCGATTTAAAAAATGTGTCGGAAAAACCTTTCTAGCAAAAATCCTTTTATAGAACTATAAGTGATTTCCAACAAACCGCCAAATGGCAGAGCTCCAGTAAAACAATTGCAAGGCGAACTCGAAAGTTGTAAAGAAAATTGTTCTAATAAATACTGATGTACAAGGTTATACGTCGTTCTGAACAACATAAATTTCTATAAAGCAATTTTGAGGCTAACAGTAGAAACGTTCTTAAAAAATATATAATATGTAAAATACTAACAAAAACAAAATTTGCCTCACATGCATCTCCAAATTATTAGTCAAATTCAAGTTAAAAATAAACATCCGATAAAAAAAAAAATCAAAAAAGAAAAAAGGTTGCCTATAAAAGAAAGACCATGTTAAGGCGAACATGTTCGTCTGCTCACGAAACCCTCGAACATGTTAGCCTTGCTACATGACTTATAGGATTATGCACATGATCTTTTGAGACGATGCAAAAAACTAGGTATTTCGATTCCTTAATAAACGGTGTTTGGATTGTTAGTGACTTTTTAGGAAAACATGTTTTTTTCCTTGCCACATCATATGGTTTTAAAAAAATACCTTTTTCTTGAAGTTATTTTACTTCACGTAGAATCTTGCTCCTATGGGAGACCTAAATATTGTACATTCAAAATCTTCATTCAAATTAATTCAAACTTTTTTTCTTTTCTTTTTTACGAATTTTATATTCTTAGTCTATATTGTCGTATAAAGAAACCTATTTTTTTCCATTTTGTGATAATGGCCCAATCTACATCCACTTCTAGTAGGAGCAAGAGATAAGCAAGCTTAGCAGTAGTATGTTGCGTAAGAGATGGTCTATCGAATACCAACCTCTGAGGTCCAGGGTAAAATCCTTTGAAGTGGCTTTCATTCCGTAAGAAAGATATATTACGATTAAGCCTTGGTGTTGTTCCAACACACAAATCGCGGTTATATGTGAGAGGTTTGAATACATAAGAGTTTAAGATGCTTTAATAAGGAAAGTCTCGAGTCAATCATATTCATTTTTCACAGTCCAGCTGGTCATTTTCCAGTCCGTGTTTATGACCTGATTTTCGAGGCGCGAGAGAACATCTATTTTATAAGTTATTGTGTCACGAAATCATGASCTAGACTCGTATTATTGTTCGTTGATAATTTGCGTCMAARWTYTGGGAATCACACCAATYATATCATGCARATTCTACCTCCATGATCGAAGTTCATATAAACAACAACARAATTGTYATAAGAAATGAAAGTTCAAAAAWYWTTTCATTAAAAAAAAACCCTTCATATATAAAAATTATCATTTGAATGTTCATCTGATTCTAAACTATCCAGTTTTATTTGATACGCTCCTGTCTAAAAATGAGTTTTCCCTTCCAACTATATTTATTTATTGAAKATATAATAAAAGTCAAGACGAGTTTATGACATGTCTTAATTAAACTTTCATTCGACGACAATAAATATCTTCTAATTTAAATTGGATAAACCTATTTATGATTGAAAATCCTTATATAGAATGATAGTCTAACTAAAATATTTCATGAACTCATTCAGACTTTCATTCCATCTCTAGTATGTAGTCCCAATAAGAARGGATACCCCATTCTTRGAAGGAAAATTTTCAAGTAAGACTGTAATTTTTAAAATTGGAAGGACATTTTTAAATATGGAATGAAAATTTAAAATTTAAAATGTAATTTGACTACAGAATGATTATTTAATTTTTGGATTTTTTTGTTGAAGGTAGCTGGAGCAGTGGGGGGCGTGGTGGAGGTAGATGATGGACCAGGTGCGCACGTGGAGAGAGAGGAGGTCATGGCGAGGGTGCATGATGGTGAGCAGGTTGAGAGAGTGGAGGGCGTGTTGCCGTCAGAGGTTGAGAGAGAGGACGACGTGGTGACGACGCAGGTTGAGAAAGAGGAGGGCGTGGCAGGGGTAGATGATGGTGATGCCCAKGTTGAGATGGAGGAGGACGTGGTGAGGGCAGATGCTGCTGCGTTGGTTGGGGGAGAGGAGGGTGTGGTAGGGGGGGACKTCGCCCATGGTAGAGGAGAGGGAGGCAACGACCTTGACCCGATCGTCCYGCGTTTCGTCGATGACGAGATGGGTCCCGCACTAGCAGGTTTGACCCCGGGCACAAGGAGGGCACTGGGGCGTCGYCATCAGGACAGAGGGGGGCGTCAGGGATGGGGATAGGGGATTTCATGGAGAGAGGATATGGCKCGTGCCCTAGCGGCCGCTGGGTACTCCACAGAGGAGATCGAGCAGTCATTTGCAGGACGCTCCGGGAGAGAGACAGACACGCTTCAGCAGGGGTGCGAGGAGGTAGGAGAGCAGCCACAGGAGGAGCGTGAGGATGCACCCTCTGCAGATATCCCCGGAGGTAGCAGTTCGTTGGTACGGTTCACGGGCCTGCAGATGACGACGACGACGCATCCAGTTCGATCGTGTGTGCAGGGKTCAGGTCCTGGGGAGGTGGCATCTGTTCAGGCACCACCGCTCATAGTCGTGGATTTAGGATTTGAGCCATCGCTTCATACACCGGTTACTGGGCGGCGAGCTCCTCAGGATACAGCTCGCCCATTGGATTTGGCAGAGCTSGCACGGGCTGCTRTGCGTGACGTGACACGGCAGGAGGACACCGACCGTAGCAGACCACTCATGCCRCCTCCTCCTCCGAGATCACGTCACAGGGATTCCCCCTCGATACCAGTCGGTCGGCCCCCCCGCTCACCATCCATGCCCACCAGACCCTGGGTTCGTTACACGACGGTCGTAGGGAGCCTCCCTCTTGACACGTCGCTATTCRGGAGGACGGATATYGACCTGGAMTCCATGCGTCGGGTCACAGTGCACACTGCACGACAACAACCAGGTTTGCGTGGGGCTGACATCGGGAGGGGTGCATCGAGGGAGGTCATGGCGGCAGTATCTCAGCCGCGATATGTTCGTGGGGGTGGAAAGGTCGGGTCTACCTTGCAGSCGGCTTTGGCAGCAGCAGCACGTGCTGTGCGTGAGCAGACTTYGCGCAGGAGCGAAGTAGCTCGTCCGCGTCCCATGCCTGCCGCGGGAGGTGCCGCATTGGAGGAGTCTTCTGGAGCCGAGGGGTTGGGGATGCCGCGCGGTTCACGTCGTGAGAAGACAGTCGCAAAGGTGACTCAGGTGAGTGCTAGGCTTGTTCGGGTGAGGACGGAGGCTGACCCTGTGACCGTGGTGGAGGACGATCCCGAGACGGAGCCTGCACGTGAGGAGGCCCCACAGGAGGATGACGAGTACAGGGACGACGAGGAACGTGAGGAGGAGGAGAGCGACAGCGGGGATGACGACAACTACCACAACGACGACGAACCCTCCCCTCCACCACGACATGGTTCTCGTAGACGACGTGGCTCTCGTAGACGACACGATGACGTCGACGACCCGTCCCCTCCAGGGCGGCGGGAGGCGAGGAGTCGGAGGAGGTGAGGGTCATCCGTTGCGATAGCGCCGGGGCGAGGGAGTGTTTCATCGACACGCAGCACGGGTGGGGAGAGGCAGAGAGGCAGTGGTAAGGTTCAATGGCGAAACTCATGGCGAAGACCGAGGAGAAGTATTGCCAGACGAAGGGAAGGAAACAAGATCCTCGTCTGGGGCAAAGGAAGAAAGTGAAGGCAAGGCAGGATCCGCAGAGGGAGGGAGAGGGCAAAGGTAGGAGGTATGGCAGGCGATGGGAAGAGAGCTATGGCTGGCGCTGATCACAGGGGCAATGCGCACAATATTGGCTCCGTTAGGACCGAGTTCCACTAAGCGGAAGTAGCCAGAGAACTTGGGAGCGAGTTTCTGGTCTCGTGCACATTTGCGTGCCTGCACTAGGTCCCCTAGTTTATACTGGTGTTGTGGGCTTGCATTCCCATTCCGGGCCTCATAACTACGGACCTGCCTACCGTGGGCCAGTTCAATCATTTTCTGCCTTTTCCGAGCCTCTCAAAAAAAACAAATATAGGAGTGTAGGGTTTTTCAAGCCCTACACCCCCATATATATATATATATATATATATTTACGTATTTTTAGGGGGGGAAAAAAATATTGAAAAAACAGGCCGCAGACTGGGCCTCATCGGCCACGGCCGCGGACGAGAATCTCGGCCTCAGCGGCCGAAATGCCCGCGGCCTAGGCCGCGGGTGTCACATAGCCTTCACCACCTCCTTCCCAAAAGTCCACAACCAAACCCACCTATGTTGCTATTGCTGCAGGGGATCAGAGAGGTCCCAAGATCCCTGATCCCAACAAGTTCAGGGGGGATGACCACAAGACTGATGTTGGGGACTGGGCTGCAGGGACCAGAGCCTACTTGAGGGGCTTCATATGCCCAGAACAGACCAAGGTGGCAACGGTTCTGGGGCTGCTGGAGGGGCCTGCCCAGAAATGGGCCACCTCTACCTCCAACGGTCTACAACAAACCATGGAGGATTGGGCTTTGGGATTGGGAGTGGTCGTCTTCTGCAGACCCTGGAAGACCGCTTTGCAGATAAGGAGCGGGCCCGCAAGGCTGCTGACAAGATTGCTCGCCTGGGCCAACAGCGTTACAGCGGTACCCTGCAGTCCTTATTTGCAGAGTTCGAGCAACTCAYTTCCACACCAGGACTSGTGATGTCTGCAGATGACTTGCTGACAAACTTCTGCAGGGCAGCCCCTGAGAAGTTTTTTGTTGCTTTATACAGCGCTGGACAGAAGGAATGGAGGTCCTTTGGTCGTGCAGCCCTGGACATGGAAGCAAAACTTCATGTTCAGGCCCCCTCCTCAGACAGGAGGAAAGGTATCTTCCCTCGTGGTAGTAGAAAGGGAAAGGCAGCCTTTGCACATGGAGGGTCTGCGTCAGCTTCTGACTCAGATTCCCAGGCTGATACACCATCAGTTGGGACTGGGCCAGCTGTTGAAACGGATGTTGCAGCGGCCCTGAGTCAGGCCATTTTGGGGGTTMTGCAGCAGCAGAAGAGGTTTTCCCCCACCACAGCCTCAGCCAGTGCAAAGGGGAAGGAAAAGGGACGTCGGCCTTCCTCTTCCCAGTGCCCTAACCTGCCTAAAGACGTCAGGATGCCAGCTGCCCCACTCAATCCCTCCACTCTCCCCTGGCATGACCTTAAGATCTAGGAAGGAGTATGGAGAAGAAGAAAGGAACGAGGGGTCTGCCTGAGGTGTGAGGGCCAGCACTTCCTGAAAGATTGCCCTTACATGCCAGGCCCAGGACAGTAAAAAAACTTAAACAGACCCTGGGGACTGCAGTTCCCCCCGGGCCCCAGCGCTGCACCTTCATCTGCTCAGGTGGATGAATCTGCAGCTGAGTTGAGACTGCAGATGATTGTTTGGGGACTGCGCGGGCAGCATCCTTTTGTTATGAGGATCCTGACCCGGATCAGGATCCAGGGCAGGATGAGCTTCAGTCACTTGCAGCCTTCTTCCTTCACCTGAAGGAACAGAAGAAGTGCAAGTTTGATCTCATCCTACTCCGGCCCTTGATCAACCACAACAGGATCAAAGGGTTGTTGGATTGTGGAGCCACTAGGAACTTTATATTCCCYAGTGCTGTTAAGAAACTGCACTTGGGGATGAAAGTTCAGTAGCTGCAGCAACCTTTGCTGGTCAGGATAGGTGATTCCACAGTACTTACCATCAGGGAGAAGGTCAGGGGTATCCCTGTGACCTTCGACAGTGCTGGAGAAGTCAGACACAGTCTGAACTTCTACATATTCCCTGATCTACCGTTTGACCTGATGTTCTCTATGCAGTGGTTGAGGGCAGTCAACCCTAGGATCGACTGGCAGATTCCTAGAGTTGAACTACCAAACAGCCAGGGGGTGTATCAGCCATGCATGATAGCCGTTGATCATCACCCTAAGACCTCCTGCTACTGCTTACGAGCGAGGGAGTTTCATGCTCTCTCACGCGCGTATCACCATGAACGTCTGTTTATTGCTCTGGTCAAGCAAACAGATGCTCCTCCAGTTTCCTGTCTTCCTGAGGTACAACAGGTTGTTGATCAGTATGTTGATCTGATGCAGGAGCCCTTTGGGTTACCCAACTGGCCAACCAAGCATCACATCGAGCTACTACCTGGAGCAGTCCCTCCCAAGGGACGAGTCTACAGGATGTTCCCTGCTGAGCTCGAGGAGCTCAGAAAGCAGCTTGAGACCCTTACCAGCAAGGGCTGGATCAGGCCCAGCATCTCTGAATTCGGTGCACTCGTCCCTCTTTGTACCCAAAGGGAATGGTGAGTTCAGGATGTGCATTGACTACAGGGGTCTCAACAAGATCACTAGGAAGAGTACAAAGCCACTTCCTAGGATCGATGACCTTCTGGATATGGTGCAGGGCTGCACAGTATTCAGCAAAGTCGACCTCAAATCTGGCTATCACCAGATTGAGATGGCAGAGGAGGATGTCTACAAGACAACCTTCAAGACCAGGTATGGTACTTACGAGTTCCTGATCATGCCATTTGGACTTTGCAACGCCCCAGGTACCTTCCAGACAGAGATGCACCGCATCTTCAGGCCTTACCTGGACAAGTTTATGGTTGTCTACCTGGATGATATCCTGGCATTCAGCAAAACTGCCAGGGAACATGCGGAACACTTGGCTTTGGTCCTTCAGTCATTACGTGACAGCCAATATAAGATCAACAGAGAGAAGTCCTCTTTTGGGGTTCCCTCTATTATCTATCTGGGTCATTTAATCTCTGGGGATGGCCTGGCTCCTGAAGAAGCCAAGATAGCTACTATTCAGGAGTGGCCTCAGCCACAGACATTGAGGGATGCCAGGTCCTTCATGAGTTTGGCCTCATACTACAGAAAGTTTGTCAGGAACTTTTTTGCAGTGGCTGCCCCCCTGACCAACCTAACAAAGAAAGACACTCCTTTTCTTTGGTCCCTTYCATGCCAGTTGGCCTTCACTCGTGCACCAGTGTTTGAAGTTGCGTGACCCCACTCTGCCATTCATCCTGACCACTGACGCTAGTCAGTATGGCATTGGGGCAGTTCTTCAGCAGGACGATGGGAATGGTCTACAGCCTGTAGAGTTTATGAGTAAGAAGATCAAGACTCAAAAGCTTCAAGACTCTACCTACGAGAAAGAACTATATGCTCTTGTCTGTGCCCTGAAACACTGGAAGCACTTTCTCTTGGGAAGGCACTTCAAGATCTTCTCAGATCACTCCACCCTACAGTGGATGAAGTCCCAGGGAGAGTTGAATCACAAGTTGGCACAGTATATTCAGTTCATAGACATGTTTGACTTTGAACTGAAACATAAGAAGGGTTTCTACAATAAGGTAGTAGATGCCCTCTCTCGTAGGCTTGACTCTTTTGCAATGATCTCCTCTACTCACTCCCTTGGAGAGGAGACCCGTCAGACCATTGCTCGTCTACTGCCACAGGACCCGACTTTTGGACTCATAGTCAAGAATCTGCAAGAAGATCCTAACTCTGAACCAGGCTATGCTCTGAGTTCAGACCTGCTGTACACTTACAACAGAGGGGAGGAGCGCTTGTGCATTCCCCAGGACCAGCGGCTCAGGACACTGCTGATGTCAGAGTGTCATGACGCCCGTGGACATTTTGGGTTCCTAAAGTCATACGCAGCGCTGCCGCAACGCTTATTCTGGAAGGAGATGCGGCGTGATATGCTGCGCTATGTGGAAACCTGCGATCTCTGCCAAAGGAATAAGGTCCATYGTAGACCTCCTTTGGGACTGCTCAAACCCTTACCCATACCTGACGGCCCTGCTGAATCTGTGTCCATAGACTTCACAGATTTAGGCAAGACCACCCCTCGTGACATGCGTCAGGTTATGGTCTGCGTGGACAGGTTCTCCAAATACGCAGAGTTAATCCCCTTGCCAGGGGTAGCTAGGGTACCGGCTGTGAGAGCAGTCTTCTCAGAGAGGTGGGTCAAACACCATGGACCGCCCACTTTTATAGTTAGTGATAGAGACCCCCGATTTTGCAGCGAGGAGTGGCAGTCCTACTGTAAGGACTACCTGCACTCACGATTGGACATGATTTCTGGTCATCATCTTGAAGCCAATGGTTTGGCTGAAGTGATGAACCAAGTCTTATTCCAATTACTGCGTTCATCTCTCCAGATCAACAGGACTGGGATCTTCACTTGGCTCGAGCACAACTTGTGTATAACATGTCTGTTCATTCCTCGACTGGGTTCAGTCCATACCGGTTGCACTGGCGACATGAACCACGACAGCCTCTCGATGATATCATCGATAAGGCCAAGTCTGATCTGACTCCAGGCACTGCAGAGTTCATCAGACGCTACCGCATAGATGTGGAAAGAGCACATGCGAACTTGTTCAAAGCCCAAAAGGCGATGATTGAACAAGCTAATCGCCACAGGTGGCCTTCCCCCATCCGCACTGGTGATCATGTCTGGTAGTCAGTTCAGAGCTGTCGAGGAGGAGGATATCTYCCCCAAGTTGTTGCCTTGTTACCTAGGTCCATGGCAGGTCCTAGATACAGTAGGCACTGACCCATTCGGT